ATAAAGAAAAATGATTGTGGGAAACTTGTTTCATTTGAACAATTCAAGTCAAGATGAGCATTTCAGAACTCTGCTTGAAGTATCAAAAAAAACTGAGCCACCTAGAGAAGATGGAGTTGGCCAGAAAGCACCAAAATCTTCTTCCATGGATTTGCGAGTGCTAAGGACTTGGGAAAGAAATTTTACTCTGGGGGCTTGTCTACACTACCGCGGTAGTTCGACGGCTGGCAATCGAACTTCCGGGTTCGATTTATCGCGTCTGGTGTGGACGCGATAATTCGAACCAGGAAGTGCTCGCCGTCGACTGCGGTACTCCACCTCAGCGAGAGGAGTACCGCGGAGTCGACGGGGGAGCCTGCCTGCCGTGTGTGGACCGCGTCTGAACCGCGGTAAATTCGAACTAAGGTATGTCGACTTCAGCTACGTTATTCACGTAGCTGAAGTTGCGTACCTTAGATCGAATTGGGGTGTTAGTGTAGACCAGGCCTAAGTCTGCAGTACCAAAATCAAATTAATAGGCATGTTTTTAATTTAACTTCATATTCCATTTGGGCTGAATCTTTCCTTGCTTGGTTTTAAAAGTCATTTTTTTCAGGAAGCTTGAGCAAAATTTGTTGTTTTCATAAAGTAAGCATCATAAAATACATTTCCCCGCATATTCTGAGCTGAAATGTTGTCCTCTAACTTAATCAGTTCAAGTGAGACACTTCAGTTTGGCTTGTTTTTTATATATCATTGAGACTTAAAAAACAAGTCAGGTTTGGGGGGGAAATAGTTAATTAGTTTTAAATGTGTGAAATCTGCAGTTTTGCTTGTGTGTTTTAGGGTTTTTTGTTTAATACAGTGTAAAAATATATTTATTATAAAGTTGCAAAGGAGATTGTAAGCTCTGCAAGCCAAATGGTTCCATATCAAGGAACTTGTAAATTCAGTACTGGGATGCCTTCGGGTTGTGGACCACTCTGCAGGTTCATGGGACTCTAACAGAGATTGTAAACTTTCCAGGGGAAAGCTTCTAGGCTGGGGTGGGAGGTATTTAGCATATACCCACTGCTCAAGCAATTTACAATCTCTGCTGGGCGGAGCTGATGGAGATTGATATTTTTCCCCTAAGAATTGGGCAGTGAAATGCAAAAAAACCCTAATATTAGTGCAGTGGCCAATGCCAAGTGCCCTAGAGGGAATGAACAGAACAGGTAACCATCAAGTGATCCATCCCTTGTCGTCCATTCCCAGCTTCTGGCAAACAGAGGCTAGTGACACCATCCCTGCCCATCCTGGCTAAGAGCCATTGATGGACTATCCTCCACGAATTTATCTAGTTTTTTTTTAACCATGTTATAGTCTTGGCCTTCACAACATCCTCTGGCAAAGAGTTCCACAGGTTGACTGTGCTTTGTGTGAAGAAATACTTCCTTTTGTTTGTTTTAAACCTGCTGCCTATTAATTTCATTTGGTGACTCCTAGTTCTTGTGTTATGAGAAGGAGTAAATAACACTTGCTTATTTACTTTCTCCACACCAGTCATTATTTTATAGACCTCCATCATATCTCCCCTTAGTCATCTCTTTTTTCCGAGCTGAAAAGTCTCAGTCTTATTAATCTCTCCTCATACAGAAGCCATTCCATACCCCTAATCATTTTTATTGCCCTTTTCTGGGCCTTTTCCAATTCCAGTATATCTTTTTTGAGATGGGGCAACTACATCTGCACGCAGTATTCAAGATGTGGGCATATGATGGATTTATATAGAAGCAATACGATATTTTCTGTCGTCTTATCTATCCCTTTCTTAATGATTCCCAACATTCTATTAACTTGTTTGACTGCTGCTGCACATTGAGTGGATGTTTTCAGAGACCATTCACAATGACTCAAAGATCTTTCTTAAGTAGTAACAGTTAATTTAGACCCCATCTTTTTATATGTATAGTTGGGATTGTTTTCCAATGTGCATTACTTTGCATTTATCAACATCGAACTTCATCTGCCATTTTGTTTCCCAGTCACCCAGTTTTGAGAGATCCTTTTGTAGCTCTTTGCAGTCTGCCTGGGACTTAACTATCTTGAGTAGTTTTGTATCATCTGCAAATTTTGCCACCTCACTGTTTACCCCTTTTTCCAGATCATTTATAAATATGTTGAATAGTACTGGTCCAAGTATAGACCTCTGTGGGACATCACTATTTACCCCTCTGCATTCTGAGAACTGACCATTCATTCCTACCCTTTGTTTCCTATTTTTTAACTAGTTACTGATTCATGAGAGGACTTTCCCTCTTATACTATGACAGCTTACTCCTGCTTTAAGAGCCTTTGGTGAGCGACCTTGTCAAAGGCTTTCTGAAAATCTTAAGTACACTATATCCACTGGCTGCCCCTTGTTGACCCCCTCAAAGAATTCTAGTAGATTAATGAGGCATGATTTCCCTTTACATAAACCATGTTGACTCTTCCCCAACAAATCATGTTCCATTCTCTGTCTCTGACAATTTTGTTCTTTACTATAGTTTCAACCAGTTTGCCCGGTACTAGTTGTTTAGCAGTCTTCCTGTGTCTGATGTACTTTAAAATTGTTTTTGCTATTATTTTTTGAGTCTTGGGCTACCTGTTATTCTTAATTATATTTTTACACTTCTTTTGCCAGAGTTATGCTCCTTTCAATTATCCTCAATAGGATTTAACGTCCACTTTTTAAAGGATGCCTTTTTGCCTCTGACTGTTCCTTTTACTTTGTTGTTTAGCCGTGGTGGCACTTTTTTGGTTCTCTTACTAGGTTTTTTTAATTTGGGGTATACATTTAAGTTGAGCCTCTATAATGGTGTCTTAAAAAAGTTTCCATGCAGTTTGCAGGGATTTCATTTTTCGCACTGTACCTTTTAATTTTCGTTTAACTAACTTATTTTTGTGTAGTTCCCTCTTCTGAAATTAAATGCTACCATGTTGGGCTGCTGTGGCGTTTTCTCCGCCACAAGGATATTAAATTTAATTATATTATGATCACTGTTACCAAGCGGTCCAGCAATAGTCACCTCTTGGACCAGATCCTGGGCTCCACTTAGGACTAAATCAAGAATTGTCTTTCCTCTTGTGGGTTCCAGGACTAGGTGCTCCAAGAAGCAGTCATTTAAGGTGTCAAGAAACTTTATCTCTGTATCCCGTCCTGAGGTGACATGTACCCAGTCAATATGGGGATAGTTGAAATCCCCCATAATTATTAAGTTTTTTTTATTTTTATAGCCTCTCTAATCTCTCTGAGACAATGAATAGTGACTGACCCAGGGAAATAGAGTGAGAGTGACTGTATAGCCAGGTAGTTAGGGCACTCCCGTAGGATGTGAGACCCAAGTTCAAATCTGTGCTCCAAGGATTATTTATTTATAAAAAATAGAACAGTTTCAACAGGAGAGATTGAGGAAAAATCCACACTGGACTATCCTGTAATCCTGTGGCTAGGATATTCTCCTGCAACGTAGGAGATGAAAGTTTAAATTCCTACTCCACATCAGGTGATGGGGGGAGAATTGAATTGGGTTTCCCACATCCCAGGTGAGTTTCCTAACCACTGAGCTAAAGATTATAAGGGAGCCTGCCGCTGCCTCTTCACCATTCCCTTTTTGCTCCCCTGGCCATTGTATTTGTTTAGTTCTCCTCTGTTTGTGTCAAAATGCCTGAAATCTAAAAGAAAAGAAAATGACAAGAAGTAAACACACTAGCAGACATTATAGTTGTGATTGGAAATAAAATCAAAATATGAGGAGGTATTGTTGACAAAAGTTAACAGCTTATACACCGACATCATGCGTGTACTTAATATTCCCAGGGAGTTAAGAATTTCTTTGGGTTTGATTATTGTGACAATTTTCTCCTGAATGATAATTTAATAACTATAGGCAGTTTTTTAACGATGTGGTGAAAAGTCTTTTCTTCTAGAATAATTCACCTTTTCCTTGTCTTCTAAAATACACTGATTTTGTTTGTTTTTGTAAGAGATGGTTTCAGTCACCCAGGTTTGTTTTTAAATTAAAAAGCAGCTCTTCTGTTTTTAGCATAAACACATAATGTAGACTATTGTGGTTGGTATGGGTGAAAGGATTGCAGAAAGAAACTCTTACGTAAAGGGTGAGTATGGAATAATAACTAACTGAAATTCACAACTTTGTTCTATTATTCATTGTCTCTTAAATGAACTTGTGAGGCTAGGTCTGTCTGATTTCCCTTAGTTTAGAAAACTAAATACAAAACCCATCTCTGTCAGTAGTTCTTCTCACACAGAAACACAGCTCCTCTTGTCACCTTTGCTAAAAACACAAACAAAAAAGCAAACCACTGTTTATTAATTTTAGCTGGTGGGAAGGAAGAAAATTCTTTTGTTTTTAATTTTTGGCATATAAACTGATACTATAGTGAGGGATGCCATATAAGAACTTAGAGAGACAGGAAAAATGGACTTTTGTCTCGTGTGTCCTTGGGACAGAGGAACCACTCAACTTTGTGGTTCATATGCTACAAACATGAGAAATGACACATGATTGATTAATGAGATGCAGAAATGTTTCAAAAGATACACATATAATAAGAGATGGCTGTTTGGAGGATTGAGAGAAACTGAGTTCGTGAGGAATTGAAAGTGCTTTCTTGGCGATTTTTAGAAATCTTTCTATATTTGACCTGATAGCTTATACATTTTAAATCAGGACTCTCATAAACAAATGCAGGATTCGGTTCATAAGAATAACTTACTTGCTTGTAGATAGGATTATGTTTATTTGAATAAATGTAAAATACTGACCATTGGTTTATACTTTGGATATGCAGCATGTCTTAATGGTAATAGCAAAGATACTTGTTGGTAACAGATTCATAATATCTGATGTTTCCAGCATGATTATAGTGAAACAACAAAATACAACAGAGTACAGTTGGCACCTTATAACCATGTAGGATTTTAAACAGACAGAAAATTAATTTTGAATGTAATGTATGACTTTGTATTTCAGGGTCAGATAACACTAATGGATGTCCCAGTATTTAAAGCTATTCAGCCAGAGGTGAGTAGTTCACAGGTTTTGTTTTCAATTTTAAATGAAAAGGGTCAAGATCTTGTGATGTCAACCAACAAACATAAATTCTGGAACTGGAGAATATGTATGCTCAATTATCCTGAGTTTCCATTTCTTATAGCTTTGAAGCAGATGGCTTTAAAACATCATGAGGCTATCTGGATCTAATAATGGTGTGTTTTGGGAAAACTATTGGAATTTAAACACAGTCAAGTAATGATAAAACGAAGTGTCTGTCTAAATGTTTCTTTTGCAGTGTTTCTGAAAGTTAAACATCTGTGGTTGAATATATATCCTAATACTTTAAAAGTTCAAACTTTTCTTACTAGTTGAAAGACACATTTGTTATATTGGTGGTGTATTGTCTTTGGACCTAAATGACAATAAATATGATCGTAATACGCTTTTTGTACATTGATAGTATACTGATAGGCCCGTTTGACTTTTTAGTGTCTGGTTACATTTTCCATATAACAAGTGAGCTACATTGCTTGTCTTATTGCTAGTTCTCTAATTTACATAGAATACCCATACACCTGAATGGTAATGAAGTAGGTGATGGAAAGGAAATAGTGGATACAAGTATTAATAATACCCAAAACCATACATCAGCAGTTGAGTGCTTCATTCTTTTTTCTACCCAAAGCACATAAACAGAGTGAGGATTATAGTATTGTTCTACCCTGCCTGATAGAAGTGTAGAAAATTGGGATACCTTCCCTATGGTGAATCCCTTTCTCTCTCCCATAAACCCGCTCTGTGGTTCTGAAAAAGGTCTTCCTGGATCAACTGGGATGTGGCCCAAAAGAAGGTGATGGGAAGAGACTGAGTGATTTTACCATTTCCACTACAGATGCAGCATGTGAGCATAAGGAGCTTTTATGTCTAAGACTATCTGAGTAGTCAACAGAATTCTTCTGCCACTGGCCATTCCAGTGTTAGCTGTTTAGCTCTGCATTTAATATAGCTTGGTCCATTGTTGGTACTATTTTCAGCTGTTGATGCTTTGTGCCAGTGCTGTCTCATGCAGTTACTCCATCACCTAACTTGTCTTCTTTTAACTTGACCTAACTTCTGGGCCACTTTATATAATTTGTCTTTTATTCTGATTAGTGGCGTGTTTCATTTCTGTCTATGGGAATTGTGGTTGATTTACACTAGATTAATTGCAGTTACAGCTGAATGCACAGTTCCCAACAGTCCTGGGTTTTGTGGGACTGTTATGCTTTGACTCACAAAATCCCCTGTCCTGTTAGAAGTGGGGGCTGAGCAGTACTGTAACCCCACACACCGGGGCCAGATCGCAGCGCCTGGAGCAGGGAGCTGAGCTCAGGCATCACTTGGGACAGGAGCGGTAGAGGCCATTTCTGTGGAGCAGGCTCACTCTGCAACTCCCTACCCACCGAGTGTGGCCATGACAGAAGTCCCCCTTCCTCCCCTTTCTCACATTGGTACCTTCTTTGCGTTTTGTCAAATCTGCAGTGAAAGTGTTTTTAAAATGAACATGAGCTGGGTCATCATCAGAGACTATCTGCTATAACATGAAATATATGGCAGAATGCGGGTAAAACAGAGCAGGAGGCATACAATTCTCCCCCAAGGAGTTCAGTCACAAATGTAATTAAAGCATTTTTTTAACGAGCGTCATCAGCATGTCCTCTGGAATGGTGGCCAAAGCATGAAGGGGCATATGAATGTTTAGCATATCTGACATATAAATACCTTGCAATGCCGGCTACAAAAGTACCATGCAAATGTCTGTTCTCACTTTCAGGTGACGTAAATAAGAAGCGGGCAGCATTATCTCCTGTAAATGTAAACAAACTTGTTTGTCTTAGCAGTTGGCTGAACAAGAAGTAGGACTGAGTGGACTTGTAGGCTCTGAAGTTTTACTTTGTTTTGTTTTTGAGTGCAGTTATGTAACAAAAAAAATCTACGTTTGTAAGTTGCACTTTCACGATAAAGAGATTGCACTATAGTTCATGTATGAGGTGAATTGAAAAGTTCTATTTCTTTTGTTTACAAATATTTGCACTGTAAAAATGATAATCAAAAACAATGTACACTTTGATTTCAATTACAACACAGAATACAATATATATGAAAATGTAGAAAAACTTCCAAAATATTTAATACATTTCAATTGGTATTCTATTGTTTAACAGTGTGATTAAAACTGCGATTAGTCGCGATTAATTTTTTGAGTTAAATCGCGTGAGTTAACTGCAATTAATCGACAGCCATCATTTTTAAACCTATTTTAGTTTTTCTTGCAGCTTGTCTACACTAACAGTTTGTGGCAAGCTGGAGCGTGAACATACCCTGCACTAGCCTGCCACGGACTGTGTAGACAAGCCCTGAGAATCATAGAATTGTAGGACTGGAAGGGACCTTGAGAGGTGATCTATAGAGCTCTGTGTCTGTCACGGAGGTTGCGGAAGTCATGGATTCCATGACTTTCCGCGACCTTCATGTCTTCTGCAGTGGCCAGTGTGGCTGGCTCCAGGGCCAGCTGCTCAGGTGGCCCCAAGGACAGCCACACCAGTCACTGCTGGAGCGGTCCAGGGGACAGCCACACCAGCTGCTGCTCCAGTGGCAGCAGGCAGTGGTCCCCAGCCACAGCAGCCGTGGTCCACTGGATCACCGCAGGTGGCCGTCCCTGGCTGGGCAGCTGGGCAAAGCTGGCGCGGTCCACTAGCCCCAGGCAGTGGTCCCCAGGTGGCCAGCTGGAGCAGCTGTGGTCAGGAGCCCCTGGCAGCTGGTGCTGCTGGCCCCCAGCAGCGGCCCCCGAGACATCCCCTCAGTGTGTCCCCCCCCAAGTTATACTAAAGATACCTGTGATTAAAAGTAATGGACAGGTCACAGGCCATTAATTTTTGTTTATTGCCTGTGACCTGTGCAAGACTTTTACTAAAAATACCCGTGACTAAATCGTAGCCGTAGTCATCTAGTCCAGTCCCCTGTACTCAAGGCAGGACTAAGTATTATCTAGACCATCCCTGGCAGGTGTTTGTCTAACCTGCTCTTAAAAATATTCAACGATGGAGAGTCCACAGCCTCCTTAGGCAATTTATTCCAGTGCTTAACTACCCTGACAGGAAGTTTTTCCTAATGTCCAACCTAAACCGCCCTTGCTGCAATTTAAGCCCATTGCTTCTTGTCCTATCTTCAGAGGTTAACAACAGTTTTTCTTCCTCCTCCTTCTAACAACCTGTTACGTACTTGAAATCTGTTATCATGTCCCCTCTGTCATCTCTTCTCTTTGAAAAAATTGGGTTTGTTTAGTCTAATCTTCCCTCATAAGTCATATTTTCTAGACATTTAATAATTTTTGTTGCTCTTCTCATTTAGTCATTTTGTTTCTCTTAGCACAGATTAAATCTAAATTTCTGAATATTCTTTACTGTGTTGAAATATTTTTAATTAAGTTCTAAATGCTTGCTGTTTAAGTGACATCAGAATTTGATTTCTCTCACATAAGCTTAATTATCTGACAAAATCCAGAGCTGAATATCTAAATTTTTATGGTAATTTTTTGTGGTGGTTATCTTTTGGCATCAAAATCAATGGAGAAACTCAACCGACATACGTAAACACATCTTGAGCCTTTTGCCTAGATCTATAGCATTGTAAATATATCTCAGAGCTAATTCTTCCTGTCTATATTCAAATATTTACCATAGTTATATAGTCCACAGTGAAACATAAGTTTTAGAAGAGGTAACTTTTGAGGGCTGGCTCATGTCAACATTTTTCTCCTAGAAGCAGGTATATTCTAACAAACAACCGTTTGAGAGTGTACTTTTCTAAATTATTAAGAGAATTTTAAGCTCTTGGATAGATGTGTAGAAGGCATATCACTCTCAAGCATCTCCTCCAAAGACCTGGGTGGTAACGATATGGGCGGGGTGTGGGGGACTGTTTCTCCTATTAAATATTTGACTTCTTTCTTGACAATAAGAAGTCAAAGTGAAAAAATGTGCACTTATGGTACCCAAAATATCTTAACCTTTCTTCATACTCCTTTAGTCCCTTCTTTTTGGGTGGAATGCATTACAGAACATTAATTTCGTCCCCTCAGCTGATTCTGAGTATTCCTGTTTGTGAGATGTTGCTGTCTGGTGTTTATGAACTTCAGGAACCTTATAATGAAGTATTTTTTGTTTGGATTGCACTGTAAGCCCCTGACGACACCAAACATTCGGAAAGGAGGTTATAAACAGTAGTGCAGTTCCCCAGCTACTTCACAGAGTGTATGGCTTTGGCTAGCACAACACTGTGTATCACCTTCTCTCTCGGAGACAGAGGTCCTCTTTTGAAACATATAGGAAGATAAGAAAAGCTAACTTCTATCAAGGTAACACTAGATATCCTCTGATGCCTCCTATGCTGTCACATCATTCTTTGCTACATCTTTTCTTTGCAAAACACTGACTTGAAGAATGTGTTTTAGGCTTTAGATGCAGACACCATATCCAGAAAGAAGCTAGTTCAAGCACTCTTTGATAAGTGTTTTTAAAAGTATGTAGCTAATTTTCTTCTAGTGGAACAATAGTCCCAGTCCCAGAAAAGAGAGATGCTCTGTTTTCTACTTCAGGTTCTTTGCATCAGTAAAAAGATCTTTGTCCAGTTCTGGACATCTCTGTCTTCAACCTCTCGGTGCACATGTGTTCAAAAAGTTGATGGTCCGGGTAGCCAACTTGAGACAAGCGCAGCTGCACATACTGCCACTTGAACCATCTACTGATGAAGGTGCAGTTAACTGAGGTGATGGCTTGACATTTCTCCACAGTCACTAAACCATCCAATTCCTGGCACATCATGGATTCAAAGTGAAGCAGCAGAACTTTTTGACCCATCTCAGGAATTCTTAAATCTGGGATCTCTGAGCCAACCTAAGTCTTGTGCTAGCGCTTAAGGAGAAATTCAACAAAATTCATACCCTTCACAATTTGCAGCTAGTTGACATGATGGTAGTTTGTGGAAAT